ATAGGTATTCCTATTTACAGAGGAAAAATCAAGGAACTTAAGATTTACAACCAGTGTATTCTGATATTTCTCTCAAATTTTGTGCTGTGCTTCTCCAGTAACTAGCCATGAATTAGATAGCAACAAACTGCTTCCATTATTACCATATTTGGATTATGTAGCAGACATTGTGGCAGTCTTCTGTGCTATTTTTCATTTTATCCCAACAAGATCTAGAATTACCTGGAACCGTACTTACAGAGAAACCAATAATCAGATTTCTGACACTTTAGCCCCATCTGCTTCATTCTGGGACACACTTTGTAAATCCGAAGTCAGTGGTAATGTGAATCTATTTCCACAGTTCCTCTTGTCCATCTTCCCCAAGGAGTAAATAGTCCCTCTAACATGGTCAGATTAGGTAGTTAACAACCTCAATTTCATACTAGTTGCAAGAATCTCTCCCATTTATAATGGTTATCCAGTTATTTATGTGCAAAGAAACATTTATATAAAACACCTGAAGAAAGGTTTTCCATTTCCTCAAAGAGAAACTCTTAAAGTAGAATCTGACATGAGACCTTTGTTGTAAGAGGTTTTATTCAGAGTTTTTGAAATACATAGTGAATGTTTCTATCAAATATATATAATTTTATTCTATACGTTTTAAAGATGAGTTTTCTAAATGGATCACCCTATAGGAATCTATGTGTACTAGTCATTGATGTGGGCTGAGAACTTACTTGGATAATAAATCGCTGTTGCTTACTAAGAAACTGTATTGGGTGTAATATACAGGAAAGCTTACTCATGTTACACATATGTATGCATGTCATGTGTACGCCTGCATATTGTGTCTTTACATATTACATGTATAGATGAAGTCAGATGTGCACTAACTTTAATGCTTCAGTGCTCATGTCCAGGATGTTTCCTGAGCCCTGAGGTTGCATGTGTATCCTTCGTGTCCTCAGCATCTGGTTATTTCCTTGTATAGAAAGTTGTGATCCATTTAAGGGAATGCCAGGCCTCTGGGAAGGACACTCTTGTGTGACCATAAAGCATTAATTCAGTCAGTTCCTAGGTGAAATATGAGGGATCAACTTTACTCTGGTTTGAAATAAAGATCAGACTGAATTCCTCAGGGCTTTCCCCATGCTCCCTGAGATTGGACTATATGTCTTAACAGTCAGATACAGGAAGAAGGAAGATGGATGGAAGGAGGGAAGAACTTGGGGGTGACCCTTATTCCAAACACTACAAAGTTCCTTTCTAAGCTTCTGTAAGATTCCACTTAATTTCCCTTTGAGGGGTGACTCCCCTGGTTCTTTTTGTGATGTTCTAGAAGATACTCTCCTACAGATTGTAGGAATTGAGCACATCAGTCTAACTGAGTTCGATTCCATATGGAAAAGAATTACACCTTATGAAAGGGTGCTTTCCCCATCATTCCCCCAAACTTTACCTGTATCTACTGAATGTTTAACAAATGTCTGTTGTATTATAGATGATGAAATTATATTTGATATATGTAACTTTATGGGATATAAAAGCAAATCTTTATCTTTTCAGCAAACCATTCCTCAAGCTACTGCAGCAAAATATCCCCGGACCATTCATCCTGAAAGTGGTACCTCAACTTCCAGATCTCTCGGAACCAGATCAACTCACACCCCATCTCTCACAAGCTTTCATTCCATAAAAGTGGTTGACTAAAGTGAACATGTTCATGTAGAGGTCTTTTACGAAGTATTGGAAGTCTTTAATTCTTAGAACATCATGGATACAGCATGTTCATCTTCACAAAATTACAAGAGACTTTTTCAAGCCATACCATCCTTTGTAACTATATGTAGAATTATTTTAATGTTATTTTTTATTTAAGCAATTAAGTAAACTTTTTTAAATGAAAAAAGAAACTGGACTTCATTTTTTTAAATATGTTCCACCTGCCATGATGATATCTTCAAAGTGTATAAATCCTACTTTCCCTACATTACTTCGAAATGGCTAAATAATTTCCAGTGTTACTGAGTAAAATTGGAGAGAGCTTCACTTTAAAAATTACTAAAACCAATAGAAAAAAGGCATTTTTATTTTTTGATTGAAAAGATAAACACCAAGAGTAGTAATAGTTTTATCACAAAGTGACTTTAGGGTATTAGTCTTCATTTTTCCAGAACTCAAACTATTAAAAATAGGAGAAATGACAATACCTATGATAACTTTAATATTATAGGAAATAATATTCTACTAGTACAAAACAGGGTTATAGAAACATCAAAAAGAAATTTCCTACTAGAATGATCTATTTCTGATGTCCTTTCTTGCATTTTTTGTAACTCCATAGCATTGAACCTGCACTGTTCTCTCTGAACACCCCAACATTGTCCTATGGTAGCAGAGGCCTGGGCAAAAACCTTCCTGGCTTGGACAGAGATTTCTCAGTGGCTGGCCAATAGGAAAAAGCCATCTGGGTAAAATTGATTTTGGAGAAAAAGACCAGGCTTCTAATGTTCTTATATTGGCTGAATGGCTATCCTGAGCCAGACACATAATTTAAATGAACCTCATCACAAAATATGTATGGTTACATAAAAACAGTTCTCAAGAATCTATCCAGGACATTAATTTCCACATCTTTAACAGAAGCGGATGAACTTAACAACCTGCATCCTCTTCCAGTTTGCTCACAATCTAGCTCTGTGTTCTAAATTATTAGAAATAGGCCTCCCTGGTGGTTCAGGGATTAAAGTCTCAGCACTATCAAGTTATTGCCTGCTACTGTGGCAAGAGTTCAGTCCCCCCGCCAGGGAGCTAACCCACATGGCACAGCAGACCTCTCCTGTCTTGCCTGCTGCTCCCCTCAGCAGTGTATCTCAGTATATCCCCGTTACGCTTCCCACTGTGTCTCTGGCAAATCCTCTCACCCTCCCCTCCCCACAACTCTGGCCTATACCCCAGTTCTTGTATGCATAAATAAAATATATTTTAAATATATAAATAAATGATTAGAAATAGGGGCCTCCCTGGTGGTGCAGGGGGTTAAGCTTAGAGCTGTGAGGCTGTCCTTGGCCTTTGCAGCACGAGTTGGATCCCAGCCAGCCAGGGAGTAACACACATGTCGTGGCAGACCTCTCCTGTCTTGCCTGCTGCTCCCCTCAGCAGTGTATTTCGGTACACATGCCTGATCTGCTCTCCACTTTCTCTGGTGAATCTTCTCACCCCCTCCCCTGCAACTCTGGCCTGTACCCCACTTCTTAAAAAAGTAAAATTAAAAAAATTAATAATAATTAGAAATAGCTTTTCTTACTGCTTTGTTAACAGGCCATCAGAGAATAAATGTGAAATGGACAAATATCCCATTTTCTCTGGGCACACCAAGGATTTTCTGAATTATGAAAATATCTGTGCCTTAAAGAATATTAGACGCTTCTTATGTAACCCTTATTCTGGCCCATCTACCACTGTGGCAGACAGCTCCTCATCAGTTTCAACAAGCACAAGGCGACATCTCATTTCATGCATTCCCACACCACAAGCTCCCCTCTAGGGCTTCCCTATCCACTCCCAGTCAAGACACAGGCAACTAGCAGACTCTACCTGGAACTCATTCATACTCAGCTTAAGGAATTGTAATAAGTAGATAAATGTAAACTGATAGAAACTGATACTTAATTTCATAATTCTGTCAGATTACAAAAATAATGCATGTTCATTGTGGGGGAAGGGGAGAATGGAAAGTACCAAAAAGTACAAAGAAAATAAAAACCTCCTGTAATTAGAGATTAAAAAACATTTGGTGTAGATACTTCTGGTCTTTTGAGTAGCAACATGTGTTATTTTAAACCAATAGTGACTAATAAATTGCTAAAGCCAGTTTCTCTTATAAGAGAAATAACTAACAGTTGACAATTTCAATACCATGGATGTGAGATTAGGCATTTCACAGGCATTCTCACACATCCTCGCATAAACACTACAGAGCAAGTAGACATCCCATTTTACAGAGAAGGAAACTGAAGTCTGGGAATTTACAAGCAGCAAGCCCATGATTAAAATCAAGTCAGCCTATTCTAATACCCTTGTTTTTTCTATATACCATGATGCTGGTCCCACTGTCTTTTTTTTTTTTTAAAAAAAGATTTATTTATTAATGCATACAAGAACTGGGATACTGGACAGAGGTGCGGGGGTGGGGGGATGAGAGCAATCTCCAGTGACAGAGGGGAACAGAACAGGCAGACTGACTGAAATACACTGCTGAGGGGAGCAGTGGGTGAGACAGGAGAGGTCTGCTGTGCCATGTGGGTAGCTCCCTGGCCAGCTGGGGATCGATCTCATGCTACAGAGGCTGCTGACAGCATCACAGTGCTGTGCTAACCCCTTGCGCCACCAGAGAGACCCCCCCCCCCGTCATTTCTTTATACTTTTTATTTTATATATCATTTACATCATTTTTCATTTTTGTACAATGTATGCATTTTCATCTTGGTTATCGTCCCCATAAAATTCCCACCCCTCCTTGTTTTGATCCTACTCCCTTTTCCCCCCCTGTAGTATGTCTCTGGCTTAGAGTTGCCTGTTGATTTTGATTTTCACTTTATTATAACTCCTTGATTATGTTATCATATACGTTGCATTAGATGACAGAAATGAATCATATACAACTTGCCTCAAGAAAAAACAATTCTTTACTTTTCATTTCAGTGGTTGGAAGTATAATGCCATTTCTGCAGAAGCCCATCACCACCATCTTCACAGGTGAAAGGAAAATCAAAGTTACCACAAGAAGAACTTTATGGCATTAAAGAACTGAATCTAAAAGGACAGAATGCTGAAAGGAAAATCATCTAAATACATTTTCTTTAGGCACATTTGAAACTGCACATTTCTTGGGCCTTCAGCCAGTTTTATTTTGGAATTGATGGAAATTTCCTAGGGAAAAAATAGGGATAAACTTTATCATTAATAGCTAAAATGTATTAAGCACTTGCTATGTGCTGGGCACTGTTACTCACCTAAGCCCACAACAGCCCTTTGGCATAGACACTTTCTTTTGTAGTTACCAAGTGAGAACATGGGCACCATGAGGCTGCAGGACTTGCTCATGATCACACAGCCATCAGCGCTGGAGTTCACAGCAGAACACGTGGCCTTCACCACTGCAACAGACTGCGTCTCGGTCTTCCCTAGAGTTCTCAGGGATTTTCCATTATTGGAAAGACTGAATTCACAATTGAGGGGACAACCCCAGCGTTCTGAAGATAAAATCAAGAAGGCAGGCGTCACCCATGCACTATTCCTTGTTCCTACCTCTGCTTGAAACTGAATCCTGGATCAGCGGTCTGATGAGTGCGTTTGTGTTCTCCGCATCAGGTAAAACTGCTTCAGAGAAAATAACAGCAGATGCTCCTCTATTTTGCTTGAATGATCTAATTACATGAGAGTGTTAACATCACCCAATTTATTGATGTCTTCAAAACATCCTCCCTGACAATATGGTCTTTGGCAAAGTGCTTTTTAGCAGTAACATGAGCTGGCAGAGTAACAGCCTATCTGCTCTATTCTTTCAACCTAGAGATAACATTTCCAAATACACTAACTTACAGTTTCCCAACAGGGACAAAGTCCCATTTTGAGGAAGATAATTCTTAGTTATGAATTATCCTGTAACTACAAGATGGTTCAGCATCCTTCCCTCCTTTCTACTATACACACACACACACACACAAACTATGCCCACACTTTCTCAAATTTCCAGTAGGGAGATGGCACTGAAACCATCTGGGCTAAATAAATGGGACCATTATTAACTGAGCCACTCACCAAAGAGAAGCTGCACATCCTGTAAGAGCCACAGCTAACACCAAGCTGGAAATGCTGTTGTTCAGGGCAGTGTTATCTCTGTTGACCGTGCCCTGCCACTTTAAGGGAGAAATTTCTCTCTGTTTGTTAAAAACTATAACTCACCAGCTAATTCCAGGAAACCTGCACGTCCCAGCCCTTCATGCAAGTGCTTTCTCTATGACTGTGCTTGCAAATCATTTCTCTTCTGATGCCCGTTAGATTAAAAAAGCCCAGTGTATGAAAGTGCTTCCAGACCCTTTCACCGGTGCTTCTTGAGGGTGTCCAGAGTTTGAATTCACTGCAGCACTTGCCAGGCATCTACTATGCTTGACACAGACCAAAGGAGCATCTGACCTTGACCCAGGGTGACAATCTTAAAGAGATGTGGAGCTGTATCTCAGTGTCCAGGTAGCATTGCGTAGAGAGAGCTTCTTACACCTGAAGCATAAGTTTCACCTGGGGATCTTGTTGATGGGCAGATTCTGATTCTGTTAGTCTGGAATGAGGATCTGCACATCAATAAGCTCCCTCCTCCTCCTGCTGTTGTTGCTGCTGCCGCCATTACTCAAGCATGTACCATCGTGCCGTCTTGCTTCAAGGAAACTGCCCTGATGGAAGTCTGGGGACCCCAGGGCAGGACTATTTGATGGGTAAATCATCGCTGGATTCCTAACCCCTAAGAGCTGTTGAGGAAGGTGCTGGGGTACAGAGAGGGGAAGCCACTCTCCACAGGAGTTGGCATTTACACAGAGGGGACAGCTATTGAGTGTGAGGGAGCAAACAGATGACACAGAAAGGTGGGCCTGAACTCTGGGGTGAGGTTCACTGGTTCATTGGTGGGGCAGCTATTTCAGAGAAGTGAACTCCACGCATAAAGATTGTTGTACTTCTAGGCGAATCTTGTTCCTTTCCTAATTTTGCCCTTGCCAAACTCATTTTCCTTAAACACCATCATCAACATGTCACTCTGTTGCTCAAAAGCCTACAAACTCCCTAGTGCCAGAGCATTTCCCTAGTTGCAATGTAATCAGATTGTGACTGTCACTGTTATCCTGCCAAGTAGATTATAAACTCCATCAAACATGCACATGGCTTAGAGACTGAGCCCTCACCTGCAGAGTTAAACGCACTCTGCACACAATAAAGCTCGATTGAAACTTTAAAATGTCCCTCATTCCCATGGCAAGTACTCAGAAAGTGCATTATATTTCTAAATCACTTCTTTAGTCCAGAGAGATTTCCAGAAGGCAACTCAATCTTCCCAAAGACTTCACAAGATACTATGTGCCTAATAAGTGCCAAATAAATAGTAAAAAAAACTTTTCAGAAACTGAACAACATGCAACATTTCCAATGTTTTATCTTCCTTTTTTCACATGAAAATGTGGCCCTAAAATTAGTAATTAAAAGGTGCTATAATTTACCTGGTGGTGTACAAGGCATGTGCTTATGGGCTATGGATCAACCATCAATAATTCCCAGAAATCAATAATGCAAATCAACCTCTGAGCACCAAATCTGGTCACATCTCATGATCTCCATGTTAGGGAAAAGCTCTGAATGAATGAGGATGTTAGGAAATGGGTACAGTTAGTTAGTTAGGAGCAGCCAAGTGCCCCAAGCGCTCAAGCCCCCACACCCATTTATCAATCTGCCCATTTATCAACCTGAATGAGGAACAACTGGTTGGAACTAGTATGGTGCCTCCCAAGCCCAGGTGCCCTAAGCCCTTTTATTAATCTGATTGAGAAACAATCGGTTGGAGTCAGGGTGCCCACAACCCAATCAGAAATGGAATGTTCAGAACACCAACACAATAACACAGTACGAAAGCAATGTACTCAAAGCTGGTCAGGAAGGCAGGCCAGGTAACCTGGGAGACTCAGTGGGTCTTGGTAACCTAGGAGACCCTACGGCCCCCAACCAATCAGTAAGAGACACAACACTGGGACACCCAACAGCCAAACCCTCACTGCTTGCCCAATATACCCATATAAACACCCACTTCTTGCCCCCTCAGTGGCGACCCATTCAGGATGCCTCTCGCTCAGAGAGCTCTCCTGTCCTAATTCTTATCTGTCAATAAATCTCTTCCGTGGCTAACTAATGCTGGTTTCCACATTGAATTTTTTCCTCTCAGAGATAAGAACCAGAGAGGCCCCTAGCCCCCAGGCCCAATTCATGAATAGAAAGTTTTACCATGGACAGTGTTTGCTTCCTTGCTTCTTTGTTTTGAAAGCTATTTACCCAAACAAACTTTCTCACTTGCTAGGTTTTAGTCAAATCATAAAAAAGCAAACCTAAGGACTCCAGCTAACCTGACAGTTAGGTCTGGCTGAAATGATTCCATGGCTTGGAATCATCTAATAGAGTGTGGGTCTGTATCCCACATGTCCTTCATGAAACAACAGATCTCACCCAAAGCCATGTGTGAGAAGAACTCACCTGTGAGCTGGTTTAAGGGAGTCCTCCCTGGAGTGGAAGCCCTGAACTATGAGCCTTTGACTAGGAAATAAATCCATTCACCCCAGAACTTCTCAAGGAACACCAGAAATCAGGTTGGGTTCCCAGTGATAAGTCAACTGTTAAATCCTAATTTCCTTAGTGCGCATTCAGTTAGGACATTAATTTCCTTACAGGTTACATGTCACCTTTTCAATGTGACTCAATGAAAGTAATCATCCTTTGCAAACTTCAATTTACTATAAATTCCCATGAGTATCTGTTGTCCACAGAGTTCTCATGACCCTTGGGGCCTAAGCTGACTGTTCTGGGGCACTTGCAGTGTGAGGGCTGTGGGGAGCACTGGGCACACACTTAGGGATCTGCCACCAGAAAGGCTGTGTTCTCAACACTGAATGCCTGTTGCCCACCTCGCCTGGGCTGTGGGTGCCTGGCCGCTGCTCCTCAGCGGCTCTGACTGCCTCTGTAAAGTTCCACACACAGGCAGCCTCTGCACTCATTAGCTCTCAGCTGACGATAAGCCAGGATCCAGGGGTGACTCTGAATATGCCTGCTCCCCAGACTGTAGTCTGGCTTGAATGTCAGAGTACAGTTGGTTGATGGGTCCCTGATGCTCTCACCATGCTCCTAAATGGAAGGTAATTGTATTAGATGACAGCAGGCATTTTCTGCTTATTGCCTCATTTCAGAGTATACATCTTTTTCTCCAGCTATACGGGGTGAGGTGATAACAGAAACTATGCTTCCAATGTTATCTACCACTGGATCAATTTTTTGTCACTCAAGATGGAGGAAATATCTGAAATGAAAAGCCTGGGTACTGTCTGTTGGACACAGGAAATGTGAAGGATTTTGCCATGTCATGCCCCTTGCTGCTGACCGATATTTAACCACCCAACAGAGGATCAAGGGGAAGCCTCAGCTAAGGAAATGTTACAGCAACAAAGCCATCTTTACTGGCCCTACTTTCAACCCAAGTCCCCCATTCTTTTTTCAGGGTGTTTGATTTTCTCATATCAAAGTTTCACTGGGGGGCATGGTGAGGTAACATACAGCTCAAGAGGTATGAACTTATAACTCTAAATCAGTGTTGTAAAACAACACCATTTCAATAAAAAAAAAGGTACAGTTTTTTTAAAAAAAAAAAAGTAAATTTAAAAAAAAAAACAACAAATAACAGAGTCTTGGGGCCCAGATACTCCTAATAAGACCCTGTGGCTGGTGCTCTATTCATCCTGCTCCCTGGTGAGCAGAGCAAACCCGGAGCCTAGCTCTGGGCCAACGGAATACAGAGAACAGTAGTCCACATCATTTTGTTTTAAGCCACTGCACCCAACAGGGCTGTGCCTGGATTGATGTCTTGTTTTCTGACTTCAAAGGTTCCTCTTGTCCTCCCTGCAGAATCCAACCAAAAAAAAAAGGGAGAAAATCTCAAAGTGAAAGTAAGTATTCAGGTGTCCAGGTTCCAGAAAATCCATCCAGCAGAGGTCGCAAACAGTCAAGGACACGCAGGACACACCACTCACCAAGAGCCTGGGAAAATCTTATCTATTCTCCTCTCCCTTTGTACACAGAATGACTTCTATTTTTGCCTTTCATTTAAATGAAAAATTCTCTGAAGGGCACAATAAGAGTCAAGGCTTGGGCAAGACATTGATCAGAAATGCTGCAGGCCTTGGCTTTCAAATCCAACGGGAAGAACACGACAGTGGGGGATTGAGCCTGCACCCTTCATAGCATCAGCAGTCTCCTCTAGGAAGGTCTGAAAACTCCAGGAAGCGTGGCCATGGTAAAGGGCAAGACCATTCTCTAGTATCTGGACTTTGACAGAAGTTGGAATAGGAAGGAAAAGTATGAATTACCCACAGTTATATCAGTATCATAAAATGCAAGGTCTTCTCCATCCCAGCCTTTGATTTATTCCCACTGAAACTAACTGCCAGAGAAT